CCACCTAAGGTTCTTGCAATGGGGACCCCTCCACTGAGTGACCAGGGTCAGTCTCCTCCCTTCTCAGATTGTTCATCTATATAACGGGGGTGAGATTGGTGGAGCTGGACTCCATGATCTCCAGCATTCTCTTTGGCCCTCTGAATCCAGGACAGGAAAGGTAGGTTAGGCCAGAACCTGGGGCCTCCCTTAGATCTACGGATGTTGTCAGTAGGAACTGGCTGGCCCCTGATGCCGCCTCACTCAGCTATTGATTTTATTAACCAAGGTCCCTGGTGGGGAGATCTTGGCGCAGGCCAAGCCAGTTAGAGTGGCTAACTAACCCTAGGCTTGTCCCTTCTTGTCTGCATTCTGATTTCTTTTAGGGCTAGCCTCATTGTTTCTATGCCCAGGAATGTCTATTTGTTCAGGATCTCAGACCCTACATACTCTGTATTATATATTTCTTGCCACCACTGTGCTTCAGCCCCCCAAACACACAGATGTTTCCAAAAGGGCATATCTTCTCTGGGCTGATCCCAGAACAATGCTGACTCAGAGGCACCAATAGCAGAGTTCATTTCCTAGGGAAGCAGAAGGGAAGGAAGGAGGGTAAAGGAAGAGGGGAGATGGGGGAGTTATTTCTTGATGTCGAGTCAAGTGTTAAAGTTAGAGGGGGCATGCAAGCCTTTCATGCTAACTCCTCATTTTTCTGAAGGCCAGAGAGGGAACTAACTGACTTGCCCAGAGTGGCTCAGCCCACCCAGAGCTGAAAGAGACCAGGGTACTAAAGCAAGGCTCAGTGTTTTGCCTAGCGCCCTCCTCTCACTCCTTTCCTGGAGTTTCCTTTTCTGTGACTTGAGGATGGGAGCGAGGACAGGAGGGCAGGGAGCAAGTTGGTCCCTTGGGATTCTGGCTGCTACTATTGCCCATCCCTTCTCCTGACCAGCTTGTAAACAAGTCTAGTTCCCAGGCAGGCAGCCAGCCTGGGGAGCCAGACCCAGACCAGGAATCGACTCTGGGGCAGCCCCTCAACGCCAAGTAGGGCCAGCCCCACCTCCTGAAGGGCCCTGCCCTTCATGCTCCTCCTGATTCCTTTATCTCTAGCCCCTGGGAAGCAGACAAGGTCAGGAGGTTTTTGCCTTTCTCCCCTGCATATCCCCTCCTCCTGCTTTCCTAGGGCAGGAGGGAGAGGAGAGGCATGGGGACGCAGTAACCTTGGGAAGATAAGGCCTGCCAACCTTGGGAAATTGAGGAGTTAGCAGAGGGTAGAGTTGGGGAGCAGAACTGCGGAACTTAGCAGCATGGGGAGGAGGATACGTTTGCAGAGCTCCAGACTCCTAGGTGGAGTCCTGGGCAGGAAAGGCACTGGACAGCCTAGGAAGGTCTGCTTCCCTGCCTCCGAATCCAGTGGGGAAGAAAAAATGTTTACGGAAACTAACTAGGAGTCATGAAATGACATGTGGACAGGGGCTTGGCTCAAGTGATGACCTTCTCCTTAGGTGGCTCCTCCATTCAATCGAACATGTATTAAATAGTATTCACTGTAATATTATAGTAATTGTCCATAATATGCAAATTTTCATAAAAATTGCGGGGGGTAAATATGAATTAAGCCTCTAAAATTCTGCCCGGGAGACAAAGAAAAATGATAGTCCTAACTCTCAAGTTGCTTATAGTCTTATCTACTGACTCTGTATGAGCATGCTAGAAGCTGCTTCAAATTATTTTTGTAATGAGGTGGAATAAGTGGATGGAGAGGAGGAATAGATGATAGATAGATAGATAGATAGATAGAGGGACTGATCAACTCTTGAAGGTCACTAGACCTTTGGGACCCAGCCTGGCTGCCCTACCCTTGGCCCACTGCTCACTGCTCCATTCATCACTTCTCTAGGGTTGAGTAAGAGTTGGGGCTGGACCTTCCCAGGCTACAGTTGGAGTGCAGTGATGGGCAGGTGCTAAGCATGGAGGAGGGAAGGTCTGGACTATAAGTCTCTCCACTGAGGAGAGAACCTTAGCCTCGATTACTTGGGTAGGATGATGACAGTGACCTGTAGAGTAGTGTGTGTGGAGGGCGGGGTAGGAGACCTTAAAAGACTGTGCTTACACATCTTCTGGCAACCACCGCCTTCAAGCATCTCACTCCACAATGTTGAGAAGTTCCACCTTAAGACCTAAATTCCTCTCGCTGCTATTCAAGCCCATTACATCTCATTGTTGTGGGGCCAGAACATGCCTGGGCAGCCTGTACTTGTGGAGCAAATGGGGACAGTGGAGGTGGATGTGCACTAACGCTAAACTGAAAAGAGGCCACCTTGACCTTTGACACATATCTACCACCATTTTTCTCTACATTTTCTAACTCCTGGTGCCTCTTCTCTCTCCCTGCCCAGAGTCTTTTTCTACCCTCTGCTGAAGGGTTTTTGAGTGGTCTCAAGTTACTTTCAGCTTCCAAGTGCTCAACCCACTCATTCCTGCAAGAAAGGAATCCCAGTTAAGCATTCAAATAAGAGCAGTCTGATGGAAGCCCTTCCATCCAGGTGTGAATACCCAGCTGACTTAACCTTCAGGGGTCTGGTAGGTGGAAACCAAATGGTAGCTCTCTTGTCAGGTGGAATGAAGGCTGGGAATGGAGGGATTTCTGAAAGTACGTGATACCCACCCAGCTGGTATCCCCTGTCTCCAATCAGTTATGTCACTCCAGTGAACAGGGGTTGGCTTGCTGCCACCCTGCTGTGGAAAGGCTACAGATCTTGAAGCAGGAGAAGGGTGAGTATCACCTACTTCATGGCACTTCAGAGACTCAGCCTCCAGCTCTTATTCCTGCTCTCCAGTCCAGGGAAACAGAGGGTATCAGGGTGGTAGGTCCCACCTTAGAGATCAAAGCCCAACCTTCCCATTTTACAGAAAGAGAAACGTGGTCTAGAGATGGAGTGTGACTTTCCTCAGAGGCTCCATTCCCTTGCCATTTTAACGTTCCGTGGCTATCTAAATCCCTGAGATTGCCTCTGCCTTTTTAGCATCAGGGCTGTTCAGCTGACGCATATCTAGCTTGTGGTCCACTACGACCAGATTGTTTTCTGATACTGCCTACTTTTCTTTAATATCTATACATACTTTCTTTTCTTTGACAGCCTTCTTGATCTTCCTTCTGTTAATTTCTTCCTTGTCTCCCTTTTGGGCCAGGCCTGTTGAATTTTAGTCTTGGTCTACCTGGTGCCAGCTGCCTTCACCTTGAGTCAAATTCCTATAAGGATTTATTAATGAAGATGTGCACAGAAGGATAAGACTGAATCCTTGCTCTATAGCAATTTCAGTCTAGAATCTAGTTAAGAGGTGACACAGACATGGATGAAATGGTAAGAGAACCAGATAGGAGAACCTCAACCTCAGTTGGGAGGGTGGGGTAGGGAAGAGGCATGTCCCAGCTCCTGGCTGAGGGCTGAAGGGTCTGGTCTCCCTTACCCCCAGCCCTTTGAGTTATGCCCTTGACCTGCTGTGTTTTGCTTCCCAGGGCAGTGGGCAGCCCTTTGGTCATGGACCCTACCAGCATCTGCAGGAAGGCACGGAGGTTGGCAGGGCGGCAGGCTGAGTTGTGCCAAACAGAGCCGGAAGTGGTGGCTGAGCTAGCTCGAGGCGCCCGGCTGGGGGTTCGAGAGTGCCAGTTCCAGTTCCGATTCCGCCGCTGGAACTGCTCCAGCCACAGCAAGGCCTTTGGGCGCATCTTGCAGCAGGGTCAGTGTGCGGAGGGACCCAGGGGTACCAGAGGAGAGGGTGGGGGTTTGGGGAGGCTGCCTGAGCCCTATCTCTTCCATGAATCTCTGGGCACTTCGCCCTGACTCTGTCTCCCAGGCCCTCCCAGCCCCACGCCTTACTGCCTCACCCATCATAGTCCTCCAGGACTCGACTTTGGTGCTGCCAGCTGACTGCCCCTCCCTGCCTCCACAGACATCCGGGAGACTGCCTTCGTGTTTGCTATTACTGCTGCAGGCGCCAGCCACGCGGTCACACAGGCCTGCTCCATGGGTGAGCTGCTGCAGTGTGGCTGCAAGGCGCCCCGCGGGAAGGCCCCGCCACGGCCCCTGGGCCTGCCGGGCACCCCTGGGCCCCCTGGCCTCACAGGATCCCAAGATGGCAGTGCTGCCTGGGAGTGGGGAGGCTGCGGTGATGACGTGGACTTCGGGGACGAGAAGTCTAGGCTCTTTATGGATGCGCAGCACAAGCGGGGACGTGGAGACATCCGTGTGTTGGTGCAACTTCACAACAATGAGGCAGGCCGGCTGGTAAGTATGGGCAGGGACATATAAGAGCTGGTGTGTGCACATGAGTGTGGAGATATGTGTGTGCATGTAGAAATGTGTGAGCATGTGTGAGTGGATGTAGGAGAGTATGCGTGTGTCAGTGGATGTGAGAGAGTGTGTGAATGTGGATGGGCTGGTGTGGGAGAGTGTGGTGTGTGTGTGTGGGGGAGCGCATTTGTGGAAGTGTGTGAGGGAGTAAGGGTATGTATGTGTAGGAGTGTGTTAAATGTCTGGGAGCCAGCATGGCGGTGGGGGGCACTTGGGAACATTGGTTAGGAGCCTGGATGGGCATGTGGGATGAGAAGTGGCCAGCCTAGAAGATGGAGTCACTTGGGGGGGGCGGGCATACTTCTGAGACAGACAGGTGGGGTAAAGCTTGGGGTAGGTAGAGGTATAGCTGCCAGGACAAGGACAGAGGATGGAGACAAAGGTTGGGAATGAAAGAAAGGATAGAAGCTGGGGCAAAATTATGGGGTCTAGAGGTATGGGAGCTGGGAGACAGGAGGGAGGTCTGGAAAGGGGCTAAAGCAGGCCCAAGGGGAAACGGGCTTGGAAAGGAGTAGATCCTGGTGGAGGTGGGGGCTGGGGGGGGCGATCAGGTAGAGGCCAAGAAAACTGTGACTTCATCTGGGCTCTTGTCGGCTCTTGCCCAGCAACCCCAGACCAGGCTCTACACAGGACCTTGGCAGCCTCTCCCATTCCCTCCACAAAGAGGAGGGTCCCCGAGGTCTTGTTTAGAGACAAGAAAGCTGTCTGGGTCACATGTTTCCAGGGGGAAGGAGAAGGCCTGGGAGGGAGAAGAGGACACAAGTATCTGTAGATCAGATCGGCCCCTGGACTCTGAGCTTCCGGAGATGAGCTTCCTGGGTCATTTGCTCCCATAAATCTCTAGTGGAGTTGAGACTCTTAGACACAAATAACAAATAAAGGGTAGGACTCCTGGGTTCCAGTTCTCAGTAGTGCATCCACAGTGGGCCCTCCTGCACCCTATGTCTAGGTTCTAGCTCTAGGGTCACCCCCACGCACATCCTGTGTCCTCTAGGGTTTGGGCATGAGGCACTGGGCAGGGGAGCAAAAGGGGGCCCAGAGAAGAATGTCCTGACAGGCCCACATACCTGTCAGAGAGGATTGGGGAGGGGTGGTGGAGCCAGCTCTTAGTCTCTGCTCAGCCCTGCCTGGGGCCCAGAGGGTTGGCAGGAAGAAGGAAGATGGGAGCTACCACCTCCCCACCTCCTCCAGGGAGAATCTCGCCCCTGCTGTCCATTCTGCTTTCTCCCCGATTCCCTGGCTTTGGATCTCGGAATCTCTGCGCTGCATTCTGGCCCCCACGCCCCACTTCTCCTGCTCCTCCATCCGTTTCATTCTTCCTCCTCTCGGAGCTGTCGCTCCCCCGATTTCCTTCTCCCCACCTTTCGCTTTCCTTCCGCTGCCCCCTGCTCTTTCCTCTCTTCCACCCACTCTCCCCATCTTATTTTCCGTCGATCCTCTGGGCCTTTTCGCACCCCGCACTCTCCATATGTCCGCATCTCCCTCTCCTCTGTTCCCTGCAGGCCGTGCGGAGCCATATGCGCACCGAGTGCAAGTGCCATGGACTGTCGGGCTCTTGCGCGCTGCGCACCTGCTGGCAGAAGCTGCCCCCGTTCCGCGAGGTGGGCGCGCGGCTGCTCGAGCGCTTCCACGGCGCCTCGCGTGTCATGGGCACCAATGATGGCAAAGCTCTGCTGCCTGCTGTCCTCAGTCTCAAGCCACCGGGCCGCGCTGACCTACTCTACGCCGCCGACTCGCCTGACTTCTGCGCCCCCAACCGGCGCACGGGCTCCCCCGGCACGCGCGGCCGCGCCTGCAACAGCAGTGCCCCGGACCTCAGCGGCTGCGACCTGCTGTGCTGCGGCCGCGGGCACCGCCAGGAGAGCGTGCAGCTCGAGGAGAACTGCCTATGCCGCTTCCACTGGTGCTGCGTAGTGCAGTGCCACCGCTGCCACGTGCGCAAGGAGCTCAGTCTCTGCCTCTGACCCTCCGCCAGCCTCTCCAAACTACGCGCAGTGTCGCTTCTCGGTACCTGCGCGACCTCTGGGCTCCAGCAGGGGGCGCTGTCCTGTCCCGGCTTCCCCGAGTGAAAGTCCATCTCCCAAGCCTCTGGAAACTGTGAGGTGGAGAGGCTTGAGGTAAACGACCGCCCAGGAAGGCCCAGGCACCCGAGGGAGCCTCGAGAAGCGCTCTGGGGGTCTCTGGGGGGAGACTATACAGGCCCTCTCTCTCCTTGGCCCCCAGATGGAAACCAAAGAGCCCTTTACTAGGCCTCTGGATGCAGGACACCTCAGAACTGCTGGCCACGGGTTGGGTGGGTGAGTTTAGTAGCAATAAAGATATTTAAACCAATAGTACTGGGCCCACAGTTTGGGAGGGGGTCCGGTCTCCTGCGGGTTGTCATGGGGCCAGGTTCTGGAATTGTCTAAAGGGAGCCAGTTTTGATAGAACTAGCTATTCAGAACTCATCAACCTGGGTCCCTATCTTCTCTCTATGAGACTGGGTTTTCCTGGCAGCTGCCATGAAGAGTGCCAGATCTTTCCTTAGCATTCTTCTTGTTCACTCTTGTTACAAAGCTAGGGCCTGGATCTGCAAGCTGGGAAAGAAGTAGCAATCCCTTTTTAAAAGAGCCGACTGAGAAGACCTGGGGAAAGGACCAGAAGCTTCTGATGGTGTACTGAGCTTTCAGTTCAGCCCTCATCTTAATCCTAGGAGTGTGTGACACTTTTATCTGCCCTTCAGTTTCTGTGACTCCTGGGGAATCTGTGGGTAGACTTTTAGGGCCACCCAAGCCCATAGGATTAAAGCACTTTATGAACTGTAGAATGTGATGAAATATGTTATCAGTAACATAAGACTTACCATTGAAACTAACTTCAATCCCATTTACATTGAATAGACTGCCCAGAACAGCATTTCTAATTACACTGAGAGGGAGACGCAGAAAAGCTGTCTCAAAGTTTTTCTTGGCACCCAATCGCATTTTCTTCCTTCTAGTTCTTTCTTGGGAAGCTGATGGTAATTGGGAAAGGAAGAGAGGAAGGGTTTGGGGTTCTGAGTTCTCCAGAGCTAATCGTCATGTCCCCATCTTTCTCCAGAGAGAATGAGTGAGGGTATGGCCCAATGTCTGGGATTCAGAGCCCCAAATTTCCCCACAGTCCAAATACTGCGGTGGGGGAATGACTCCCCCATTAAGGTACGTAGGGCAAAGCAAGAGCTTTGGATTCAGGTGCTCTAGGTGTGAAGCTGGTGCTCCTGCTTAGAAGTTTACAGCGCAGGCCATGTTAGTCTCAGTTTCTTTCCCTGTATAATGGGAATATCATCCTGTCTCAGTTATCCATTGCTACATAACAAACAACCCCAACATTACTCCTCACGACCCTCTAGGTCAGGAAATTGGCAAAACTCAGCTTGGTGGTTCTGCCTCTTATGGAAGAACCATTGGTTGTAGTCATTCATTTGGCTGCATTCTGACGGTGGCTGGGCAGGTCTGGACAGTCCACGAGGCTTCACTCATATATGTCCGGTGCCTCAGAGCTTCTCCCGTGGTCTCCTTCTCTCCATGTGCCTAGCTTGGGCTTCCTCACAGCCTCGTGGCCTCAGTGTAATTGGACTTCTTACATAAGCTGGCTTTCAAAATAAGCTGTACCAAACTCAAAGGCAGAAGCTGCAAGTCTCTTCTTAAGGTCCAGCCTCAGAAGTTGCACAGCATTGCTGGCACTCCCGGCCAAAATTCAAAGAAAGGGGAAATAGACTCCACCTCTCCGTGGGAGAGTGGCAGAGAATTTGCAGCCATCATAATCCATCCCATGTTCTCATAGAATTGTGGAGAAGATATTTCAAACTATGAAAAACACTTCACACAGCATTTGAGACAATAATTTATGTCAAATTTCTGTTTAATCAATGGTAGTTACTGTGAGAATGGGGCTAGACAGTGGATGTTTTACAGCTATTAGGCAGGTTCTGATTGCAAATGAAGTTACCTAACTCAAACTAGCTTGGGCCAAGCAAAATTAATTAATGGGTCTTATACCTGGCAAGTCCAGGGGTAAGACTGAATTCAGGCACAGCTGAACCCAGGGGCTCAAAGGATGTCGTACGTCTCTTCTCCCGCCCCTACCCCTATATCTATTGTTTCTGCTTATCTCTGCCCCTCTTGTCATGCCGTCCTCATTCTCTCCTGCTGCAGATAGACTTTTGCTAAATATAGGCGGCCCTATGCCTACATTTGTAGAGCCGGTGATCTGAAAAGGAATGGCCTTCCCAGAAGAAGTCCTGAGGAAGACCCTGATTGGGTCAGCTTGGTTCACTTGCCTATTCCTGAACCAAAAGCAGTGTCCAGGGAGATGTGCTACTCTGACTGGGATTGGCAGCCCCCCTAAGGCCACAGGGAATGGAGGCCAGGGAGGAGAGCAGTACTCTTCAAATGAAACAGAAGGAAGGGGAACTCATTCAGAATGTGACAGACCCTGAACATGGATTCCAGTGCATCTGTTCTCTCCAGCACAATGCCCCTGCAGAACCTAGCCTGGTTCAACCCTCAGGGATCAGATGGGGCCCCAGTGTGTAACCTGTCTGGGGTGGAGGGGTGTATCAGGCTGCTGTGGGAAGAAAGGAGCATCTGGGTTTTCCTTCCTCCTGGCTCCCTCAGGTCAAATGCCTGGGCTTTAGGGGAAGTGTCATGAAGAAGTTGGACTGACAACCTCTCAACTCAAGCGAGCTTGGATTACTTACCAAGTTGGGAGAGTGGAACTGGCATCGTGGGCCACATGGAAGCGAAATAAAGCTCCCTGCAGATAGAGTTCATATGCGCAGCACTGCCTTCCCCAGAGGTCTGCGCTAGGTACTTTTACAATAATTTCCTGTACTTCTCTCAGAGACCACCAGGGGGTGCACTGAGCCCAGTTTCTCTATTAAAAGGGACCAACCGACAGAATCTGCGAGACTGCTGGGAAACTCAGAGTAGTGGGCAGGAGAGGGTAGGATGAAAGGAAGCAAGGAAATCCACAGATAGCTCCGGTCAAGCTGTTAGGGTTGCAGACTGTCTGGGACCTCTGGGCTGGCCCAGACCTAGGGCTGGGATGCTCACTTCCCACTCTTTACTTCCAAATCCTGGCAGGGGAATGGTATGGGGTGGATGATGATGGACTTCCTTCTCCATGATGCCAGAGAGGGAAACTGAGGGTGTGGAATGAATCGACACCAACCCAAGCAGGTTAAAAGTAATTTAGGGAAAGTAGTATGATACAATGAAAAAAAAAAAAAAAGCCTAATTTGTTACCTCGACTTTGATCAAGTCAGTTAATCTCTAAAATGTGGGTGCCTGGTAGCATTTCAGTACATTGTAAGAGTACACCGAAATCTTCAAACTGCCAGTCACATATTAGTTGTCCATCTTCTGTGACCAAGCCCAGAAGGAGTCTAGGAACTGTCATTTGTGGTGGGTGAGAGTAATGGCTCAAGAAGTACCATTTTGACAATTTTCCTGGTCTTCTTTGCTAAGAGATGGCTCTGTGCTCTTGCACTGCTGCTTGGGAAGGCAGCTGGAAGCAGAAATCAGAAATGCTCCAGGACATCACCCCCCTTGCTCCCCCAGTTGCTCAGCCCCAGGCACGGTCTAAGCCATCAAGGTTTCCCACTCACTGACTGGTGGGGGACATGTGGAGCTGGCGAGTTGGGAGAAGAGCACAGAGATGCCCCAGATGTGTGCATGATCACATCAGGAACAGCCAGAGTATGAGCAGATGGGTGGGGAGGCCATCTGGAAAGCCCAGGATCAGCCTGAGGCCGAGGGCTCAAGAAGCATTTCCCCTTCCCTTTAATGACCAAATATATTAGGAGTTTGGGAGACTAAAGCGGCAAGCTATGGCCCCTTACCTTGTTGATGGGTGGTGGTCCCTAAGACCCAGACAAAAGGGCAAAGAGCTCCCTTAGCAGTCTAGGACTCCTTTCCCTATTTTTCACCAAGACAAACTTGTGTGGCAGAGCATCTGGACTGAGTTGGCCTGCTTTGGGCTGGGGCTATGAGGGTCCCACCTGTTCTAACTCTGGTGCCTCTCCAGCCCTCCCTTCCCTGCAACCTCCTCCAGAGTCACCACAGCTGGAACCATTCTCCAAGCTGCCTTTCATCCTTGGTGCCCCCCACCCCAACCCAGTGGGTCCTGTAATTGTGGTCTCAGGCAGTGGCTGTGGGGGCCGGGGCTGGGTGAGGGCCAGAACCCAGGGCAGGTCCAGGGTGGGGCCCGGTGGCTGTTGATAGGGGCTTGCCCATGGCATGCGTCATATGGGCCTGGGACCCAGACACATTTTCTGGTCCTCATTTCCACATACACCAAGACCCTATTCCTGCATATGCCTTCTTCTCCCTAGACTGTACAGAGGTGTCCCAGGCTTGGGTGCCTTTAGACACTCATGACATCAGGCCAGAAGCACACCTGAGTGTAAGCAAGGTTTGGGCATCATTATTTGAATCCTGGGGTTTTCAAAGAAAGTGTCTTCTCTCTCTCCTGTACAGTCCTATAATTCATGAACAGTGGAGGGTAGGGGGACAAAGAGACCCTCCCTCATTATAGGAGGCCAAAGGAAAAAATTCAGTTTCCTAAGCAGGTCAGCAGCTTTTCCCAAATATGATCCTTACAAAAATCACTTGAGATACCAGTTAGAAATGCAGAATCTCAGGTCTTGCCTCTAGAAAGGCTAATTCAGCTGCTTGGGGCTGGAATCAGTATTTCCCACAATGGCCCATCCCAGGGGATAGATATGATGCATGGATCATTAGAAATGAGAGCACTAGACAGAGAATAAGAAGAATTAGGAACCCATTCTGGGTGTCATGTTCCAAATGGGTGTGTTCCTAATCCTTTCTGGGCCTCAGTTTCCCCAACAGCCAATGGGAGTGTGACTCTCCAGCCTGGCTCGTCCCTGCTGGTGTCCTCTCCCACCCTGGGCTCCTGCCTCCTTCCTAGGTTGAGTCTGGTCCTGCCCTGTCCCTCCCCGTACCCTTCCTAAACTCTAGTCTCATGTTGTCCTTGTCCCTGTGGCATGGTAGGGGAGAGTGGGGAGGGCAGGGGGAGGCTGGGGTCAAACAAGGCTCTGACTAAAGCAGACTGCTTCCTGCCCCCGGCTGTTTTCCTGCTGTCCAGCCAGACTGCTCCCCCCACTGCCCCACCCCCACCCCCAGCAGCCTCAAGCCCTTAATTCCTGACAGCTGCGGTGGCTGCTGGCTGAGATGGGGGAATGAAGGGGGGAGTATGCCGTCAGCCTGCTGTTGCTCAGGCTGCCCCTACCACCTGACAGTCTGAGGACATGGAAGGCCCCACCCCTCTCTTCCAGTTCCCCAGGGATGGCCAATTCCAGGAAAGGCCCCCCTTTGTCTCAGAGCCCAGAGGCTTGGGTAGTTTGTCCTTAAACCAGGAAGGGTTCTCTTCAGACAGATGGGACAGTGAGGTTGGGAGGGAGGGAGGTTTATAGCGTGGGAGGCTTGTGCCCATTTTATAGAGGAAGCTAAGGCCACAGTGGGAGTAGGATTCACTATCAGGGACCAGGTGAGAACCAGAAACAGAAGGTGGAGCCTCTATCACCAACCCTCTGGCTCTCAGGCTCTGACCTGGGTCCAGTACACTCACCCCATACCGAGCTGAGCTCAGAAATCAGCTACCGTGGGAGGACAGGAAGGGGTCCCGAGAGGAGCGGACCCGAGTCAGGAGGGTGGTGTTGGAGAGCTCCCAGAGGACCAAGTACAAGTGGCAGGGGCCAGAGTGAGACCTGAAGCATCTGCAGGAAGTACCTAGGCAAGCAGTACTCAGTGTTAGCGCCTCTCCTGCTGTGCTCAGGGTCAGGTGAACTGGATTTGGTTGCAGCTCTTTCACCTACTTGCTGTGTGACCTTGAGTAAGTCACAACCCTCTCTGAGCCTCAAAAAAAGTTTTTTTAAATAGGAGGGGATGAAATAAGATGGCCTAGAAACACACTTTTAGGATTAAAAGGTTCTCTAATTCCTCCACCCAGAGTGTGCCACTCCAGGGTGATCTGCTCCGGGACAAGCATTTACTGCTGGAGTCACAGCATTTCTTCCTTCATTGGCTAGGTGAGGCGACGAGATGAGGTGGGCCTCATTAACCTCATTTCACTAAGGAACAGAGTGTGGCTCAGTGAACAGCAGGCACCTGTTTAAGGTCCCACAGCAAAGGAGAATAAGATCCTGAGGCTGCCAAACCCCCTTGCAGGACCCCACACCTGTCTCACCAGCCAAGCCTGGGAATTCCCTCCTGAGGAGCCGGGAGGCGAGCAGAGGGGCCATCCCCTCACCTTGAGCCCCTGCAGGTGTGTATACTGGCGCGGGGGGAAAACGCTCTCCAGCAGCTGCGTCTCAGCCAGGCACCCACACTTCCCAATAACACACCTTCAAACACAAAACAGCACGCCCTGCGCACTGACACCTTCCCAGGGCGGGTGTGCACAGACCCCAACATCTCTCCTTCCCCTGCCCTCTCCGCGGCCAGCCGCTTCCACCCAAAGTCCTGAGCGGACGCAGTGGCCTCAAGAAGTGTACACGCCTCCACACCGCCCCCCCCCGCGTCGTGACGTCACGTGGGGTAGAGCCCTGAGATTCTTTACTGGGGTGGGGGGAGGGGAGGGGAGGCGGCGGAGCTCCTGGAGCCGGGACAGTCACTTACTCTCTGGGCTGTGGGGCCGGCCACAGACAGCGCCGCCCCCGCAACCCGGCCCGCCTCACACGCCCTTGGAAGCACAGGCTCGCGGCACTGCGCTGGGGGGTTCCACAGTACCCCAGCCTCTCGTCCCCAGCTCACAGCACCTCCGGGCCCCCCTTACCCTCGAGAGGCACCGGGAGTCGTCTCAGGGGGGCCTCGGGAAATTCCCCGGACCCCTGTGCCAGG